CAAAATTCACAAAAACTGGGATATTTTCAAGATAAATGATAAGAAAATGTTATATATATATATATATATATATATATATATATATATATATATATATATATATATATATATATATATATATATATATATATATATATATATATATTAGTGCTGTCATGCGATTAAAAAAACTGAGAGATTAATTAATTATGATCTGTAATTAATTAATCTAATTAATCTCATTTTAATCTCACCTAAAAATTGCTGAGAAAAGCCTTCAATTTGAGGTATTTTCATTTAAATTCATTATTACATTATTGTGGCAGATCAAAAGACTGATATAGAACAAAAAAAAGTGACTTTATAAAGTCATTTATTGCTTAATAAATCTCCCCAACCTGGCTGTTGAGCCCAAGTCTCCATGAACAAGAAACTGTTTGCTGTAAAGTAGCAAAGACGAGGAAATCTGAACATAATAACTTTTGTCTACTTAAAGACAATAAAAAGTCCAGTCTTTCCTTAACCATATGAAAAATATTATTGATAGAGAAATGCTTTATATATGAGATCACTGGTTTTAGTCCTGGTTTTAGTCCTGGTTTAGACCTGCTTTAGTCCTACTTTAGTCCTAGTTTAGTCCTGGAATGGGTTAGTCCTGGATTTAGTCCTGGTGTTAGTTCTGGTTTGGTCTTGGTTTAGTCCTGGTTTAGACCTGGTTTGGTCCTGGTTTAGTCCTGGTTTAGACCTGGTTTTAGTTCTGGTTTTAGTTCTGGTTTGGTCCTGGTTTAGTCCTGGTTTAGACCTGGTTTTAGTTCTGGTTTTAGTTCTGGTTTTAGTTCCTGGTTTAGTCCTGGTTTAGACCTGGTTTTAGTTCTGGTTTTAGTTTCTGTTTAGTTTGGTTTAGTCCGGGTTTAGACCTGGTTTTAGTTCTGGTTTTAGTTCTGGTTTAGTCTTGGTTTAGACCTGGTTTTAGTTCTGGTTTTAGTTCTGGTTTAGTCCTGGTTTAGTCCTGGTTTTAGTTCTGGTTTTAGTTCTGGTTTTAGTTCTGGTTTTAGTTCTGGTTTAGTCCTGGTTTAGACCTGGTTTTAGTTCTGGTTTTAGTTCTGGTTTTAGTCCTGGTTTAGACCTGGTTTAGTCCTGGACTGGATAAGTCCTGGTTTTAGTCTTGGTGTTAGTTCTGGTTTAGAGGCGCACAGGAGGAAGCGCGGTTTACGCCGCGTACGCGAGAAAACACGATCCACACGCGGCTCATGGGAGGACAGCAGTGTCCGCGCAGTGTCTACGGAAGGAAACGTGGTCCGCGCATTCTCAGGTTAATGACGATGATGAAGGTGTGTGTTTGTGTGTGTGTTTGTGTGCGTGTCCCCTCATGTGGCAGGTCACTATAGGACAGTAGTGCAGACATCATGAGCCTATGCAGGTTGTTTTCACCAGTGACATTTAAGTTGTAGGCGATATTATATTTGTTATTTTCTTTTATATTTCACGTCGGGAGAAGAATTTCCAAGACACGAATGTGTTTTTACCTGTGCACTGCTGACTCTGTTCTACTGGCTCTACGACCTCGTCCACTGTGCGACTGACGCCGCCAACGTTAACATGACGTTTACATCGCTCTTACTGCGCGCGTTTTGTGTGGGTTTCCGGCAATGAATAAAGAAATGTATAAATGTGTTTTTTGTGTGTGTGTTGTTGTTGTCCCAACAACACGTAAAAACAGGTTTTATAATAAAGCAACTCGCATACAGAAACACTAAAGTTAGAGATTAAAAATGAGATTAACGCGATTAAAAAACATAACGCGCTAAATATAAAAATAATTAATAATAATTAATTAATCGCAATTAACGCGATAATTTGACACCCCTAATATATATATATATATATATATATATATATATATATATATATATATATATATATATATATATATATATATTACCCACATTCAAAATCCATGCATTCTGAAAAGCAAGACAAATAAAGAATTATAAACTTTTAAAATATAGTAAATAAAAAATGAATACAGGCTACGTACAAGAGGTTGGGTAATCAAATATAGTACAAAGATATAAATTTACACCTCCACCTTTTGACCTGTTAGACCCTCCTGCTGATCACAGAAAACACAGAGGGGACAAGTATGGGGCTTTTGGCATCCACTGAAGCTTCTCCTGTAAAATAGTGGGATGAAATAAAAAAAAATAAAAATAAACATTTACATCAATTTACTGAAAAACAAATAAACATGTGGAGTGGATAAAACTATAGTAGAGCACATCCTTCTTTCTGGAGTAGTCTACATTAGAAGTATAGTTTAACCATGTTGGCTTGTTACTTTAATTATTATTGACTTTTGGATTGCTTGGGATTTTTTCAAGATAAATTTTATGTCATCCTTCTGAGATTGGCTAACTATAATTGTGGATGAATTTAAAAGCAGCTGTACAAAGGATGGCACACACAACATCATGCTGTTTACCAAGTTAAACCAAGTTAACTTAACACTTGCTAGTGCACCAAAGGTTAGCAATATTTAGTTTATTGTGCAGAAACTTGCTGATTTGTACAGAATAAAAACAACACATCAGTAGATATAAACATAATTTCTTTTACCTGACACGAAGCATGCTCTGCAAACACCAGCACTGTTTTGTCTTTACCCCACTGTTCATCGTGTTGAATTTAATCAGGATTGTCTTTGAAGGAATGTGAAGGAATGTCCATGGGTAATTACGCCGTACACCAAAAAACACAACAAGCAAACGTTAAAGTCTGTAAAACTTCACACATTTACAGCGCCCACTAATGAGCCTTTTCCCCCTTGGGCCTCCAGTGAGAGCTGTGAGAAGTGATTCAAGGAAGAGGTGTATAACAGGTGCTGAGGGAAGCAAGGGCTTGCTCCTGGTTTAACAGACTAGCTGTTGAGCTGTGGCTCAAATTTCTTCATGTCAGTTAAAGCTGGACCTGAAAGGAAGGTCAAAATACACTATGCAAAGCAGTTATTATAGTATAGGGTTACGTCAAATACTGGCAATCACAAGACATAGCATGATGAATAGTAAAGGTATGTTTGATTGTTGTATGTTTAAATTTTTTCTCAAAGGAAAGGCGGAAGAGGAATAGTGGAGTAGTGATAAGACCCGATACGTTATCACACTTGAATTACAAAAGTAAAAAGTTGTTGAAGTGACTCACAAGGAGAAATGGGGGCAGGGATAATACTGTTAAATACGTGCAACAGCTACAACTGTTCACTAACACAATGGGATATAAATCAAACATGTCAAATCAAGGATATTCATTCAGGAAGGAAGATTAAATTTTGAGCCAACTTAGATTTGAACATAGCAATAACAAAGTCTGGGCTTTATCCAAGAGGGACAAAGATATATATATATATATATATATATATATATATATATATATATATATATATATATATATATATATATATATATATATATATATATATATATATATATATAGATAGATAGATAGATAGATAGATAGATATAGATAGATAGATAGATAGATATAGATATAGATAGATATATATATATATAGATATATATAGATATATAGACATATACATATATATACATAGTTATAGTTTTACACCAGTTTACAGGAAGTGAAGAGTTCTAAACATATTGATGACAAGGCACTAAATTCTATCCATAAGTTTGGCACAATTTACATATACACATTTTTCTCATACTTCAGGTTTCTTATATTTGTATTTGTCAGATAGTAATGTCTGTGTACAGAGTTTTGATAAGTAACAGTTCAGGAATTACCTGGTGTTATGTTACAATTTTCAACAAGGAAGTAAAATTTTAAGCCTAAAGAATTGCCAAATTGGGAAAACGAGAGTGAATGTTTTTGCAAAAATCTTAATGATCTTAATTGTGTTTTAGTAAAATGAGTGGTCTAACCTGTCACAGGCACTTTAAACTGCCAAAACCCTAAAAAAATGTAACTGACGGAAAGAAGCAAAATCCACACTTGGCCACCAAAACCTCATAAAATATACATGAGTAAAAAGCATGCACCAGGAATAGACAGGCACATTTAGAAATCACTGGACCTTTGGGGTCATTGACATCACAGTGGTCCATCTGGTGCCAATTCTCAGAGCTTTACCCCCAAAGCTATTCATGACTCTCACTATCCTGAAGGAAGCTTAAAGGGCCCATATTACACTGTTTTCTCACCTATGTTATGAGGTTTCCTCTTCACAAACATACCTGGAGTTAACACTCTGTTCCACCTTGCGATGTCATGTGGTAACACAGGAAGTGCTCTAATGTGGTTTTAAACTCCATACACCTTCAATCATGATTTCAGACAAGGAATTGATAATTGCTAATTGCTAATAACTTGAAAACTACACCTTCATGACATCACAAGGTGGAACAGAGTATTAAGAGATTTGGAAATGTAGAAAGAGTAAGAACAAGGATTACTCAGACATCTGTGAAAGAAACAAAACACAACTCCAGGTATGTTTTTGAGAAAGTAACACCATTATAACATGGCTTAAACCTCACAAGAGTCAGTTTTGCATAATATAGGAAAAGGAGCTTTTCACGTGGTTTAGAAGCCATGGACATTTGACGGAGGGGGGAACAAAACGTATCCATGCATAAATTACCCACTATCTCGCCCTTTCAAATAATGCTCATTTGCAAGCGATGCCATTTTGAACTGAATACTGAGCATGTTTGCATATGGGTCACTCCCAACAGCATGTAATGGTAGAATTTTGGAGCGAAACTGGCAAAGGTAAGTGTAAGAAGTCTATATGATGAGAAGCAGAAAAGCTATTAAAAACACTATAAAAATAATTTATAGAGAACAAATTGTCTAAAGAAACAGAAAGAGCAATAATAGGTGTAGACATAGGCTGCACAAAAAAAAGACCAGAGCTTGTGACTAGAGCTTGTGGCGCTGCCTCACTTCTCGTTCCCACATTGAGTTCAAAAACACACACACCACACACATAGTAGATAGACACACATACGCACACAAGCATGCACAGGCATAGAAAGCACACAAAGAGATAGAGAGAGAGAGAGAGAGAGAAGGAGAGAGAGAGACTGTGCTTTTCCCCTACACTCCGGGAGCAGAGCGGACTAGCAGGGGCAGTCGGCACAAGGCAGGCTCTGCAGCAAAGAGGTAAGTCTAAAAATCAACACCTTTGAATTCATTTTGTCTAAGGCTGAAAGGACTTAAAGTGTTACTACTATATATTTAAGGAAACAGGTGTGGGCAAAGAAACATAAGGATGACTAGTGATGTTATCGTGAATGGGATGATATAATAAGATTTAACTTGTGAAGCTAGATGCAAAGTAGGCTGTAAAGTATTTGAATGTAGAAAGTCAAGCCTGAAGCAACAACAATGTCATGTCATAAACTGGCTTCACAGTATGAGTAAAGGTTGAGGTTATAATAGCTGAGTAGTTGACAAGTGGCATTGATCTTAGTGTACAGTTACAAGATAAGTTCATATACTACAAAGTAGTATAATACTAACTTAGATTTTACTATATGTATACTGTATTGGGTACAACCTGTGCCAAGACATATATTCTACTCCAGTGTCAAGGTGCAAATTGGGACCTGAGCCATTTGCTCTATGCTAAAAATGACCTCAATAAGTCTAAATAGCTTCTTAAACAAGGACAAGAAAGACTACACTTTACCAACACGTGTAAAGGTAACTGGGCCAGTCATTTTAAATAATAGGCAAAACACTATTATGCACAGCTAAAATGCAGTAGTATTATGATTGATAGATTGACTGATTTTAAAAAATGTTATAATGCTAATACATTGGGGACTATGAGTTAAGTTATTCTATTCCAAAACCCAAATTAAGAAGTTGTTGGATCTGTATTAGCTGTATAGAAAGTATGCAATTTGCTGTGGAGTCCCTAACAGAGTATAGAAATACACTAAAATGCACTAAGATTGTAGATTACTTATTAGAAATGAAAAACATGTGAAATCCAAACCACATAAAATGTACTGTGCAGTTGCAAAATTAAAAATATACATCACATGAATGTTAGGTGAAAAGAGGATGTGGTTAGGTGTCAAGGCGGGGTCAGTACGCAGTCAAAGTCACCACAGCACAACAGAACAAATATGCTTTCTCCTTACACTATTTGTCTTGGCTAATGTCTGAGTATGTGGCACTGGTAATGAATAGAGAAGCTGTATTGTTGACATAGCGGAGGTGATGTAAGGTCAGAACTGACATAAGGGGAGCCATCTAATGTGCTGTTTATGCCTGACTTCCACAGTACCGCACGCTGATAGGACTCTATAAATATTTTATGTGTCTGAATCCCTGTCAGCGGCCACGTCTGTCACTCAACACCTTTTAGTTTCTAACCGTTTTTTCACAGGATCACGTAGGTGTTCCACAATGTCACACAGGAAGGAGACAACAAAAAGCCCACCCATAAGGATGTTGCTGTGTGCAATAACATAATAACATAACTGATATCATGTCAAATATAGATGGAAATGAGAAAGTGGCCGTGACTCTGCTGTCTCATTTTTTTCATATAATGAGGTAACCCGTTGTCTGATTGCATTATGCGGTTCCTCGTGCTTAGTTTGTGCAGTCTATGCAAGTTGTAAATTTACCTTTTTATTACAGCTACAGTGCAAGGAAAGTTAAATTCGCCATTAAAAGAAACCATTTTGCTATAAAAAGATAATTAATATAGATTTGCAATTGTTCACTACCCATAAAAACCCCAGACATATAATTGAGAAGAATGTAAATGGCTTAAAGAGAGGAGACATCTATAAGGATGAATTATACGATAACTTGTGGGTATTTTTAGCAAATGACTAAGCTAAATATGATGAATAATTGAATGAAATATGAGTCATTTTATCTATTACTGAGCACCCTACTGGTGTTATAAATACCACCGTTAATGATGTTTGAAAGATGAAATGAAATCAGGACTTTGGGTAAAACATTGAAACCAGCCCCTTCACATATTTTTGGATGAAGAGCAAACATTTCATTGCGTTTTTCTCCAAAGAGGGCACATCTGGCTGGTTTAAAAAGATCACAGAAAAGATGAGGACTTGGTATTTAGAGAATCTCACAAATGGTGTCCCAGCTGAGAGGTAAATAAGCTCATTACTCATATCAGCGCTCAAACTCATGCCTGTTAAAGAGGCACCGCACCAGAGCTCCTCTTGCCTTTCATCCAAAAACCAGATTGGACCCTTTTTGCCACATCACTTACACAGTAATGGAAGGTCTACAAGGGGCATATTCAGGTTCATCTGCAGCTTACGTCTACTGTAAACCTGCAGCGACAGCAAAATTTACAATATTATACATTAAGGAATTTGTTAATGACTAGGAATTTTGTAATTTGAGCCCTGCAGCTATAGGTCTCCCCTCTATTGTTCCCACTATTGTCAGCAAGCTTCCAATGAACATCTTCAGCTTTTTTTTAAACAAAAATTAATAAATACTAAATAATTATATTTATTTTATAATAAATAAAAACTCTCTTTGCAGTATAATCTTGGAAAATGAAACCTGTTCACAACTGCATTAACAAACTTCATAAACTGCATTAAATATGAATTAATGCTTATTAAATACTGCAACTATAATGATGTAGCTGTTTTTACACAGTAATTTGCCAAGTGGGTACACTTGGGTACATGTATATTATGCAGCCTTACTACACAGACATGAGATAAAACAGAATCCTAAAACACAGTGAAGATTCGGGGCTCGTCTTTGAGTGTTGCAGCTGTAACATCTTGTTGCAAACAACACTCAGCTGTTATAGTCCATTACAGTCCTCCAAACCCATTACCTGGACATGCACCTTTGTTCATGTGGTGATGGGGAGACGATGCATGCCTCCTCAGTACATTGCACACAGATAGTGTGTTTGCAACTACGCAAAACTAAAGAGAAGTTTGAGAAATAAAGGAGATTGTGAGCTATGATGTACTATTTCATCTTCTTAATTATATGTATTTTTTATCAGTTTTAACTTTTATGGATGTCCTTACATGCACTACATATGGTTATAAATGAAGACTATGGTGTAATTTGTACTGAAGAAAGACAAAGAACCATTGTTCAAAAATCTATGAAGACCAGTTACAATCTTTGGTCCCTTTTCTAAAACAAAAGAGAACCCTCATTACACGATTGTTCTATTAAGTATAGTGATTAATCACATCACAAAGAACAATTGCGTTCACACTTGTCCTGCTTTAACCCCAGTTTAGTCCAGATGTAGACTTGCTTTTGTCCTGTTTTAGTCCTAGTTTACTTCTAGTTCTAGGTTCCAGGTGCAAACTGACCCTTCTTGAAGTGCTCATAGCAACTATGTTTATGTTTATGTTTATTTATTAAATATGGGACAGTGCACATTAATCAACATGTGACAACAATTGTGACAACAACAGCAACAACTAGCAACAATACCAAATTTGTCTTGCACACATGTCACTATGGGTGGGCAACACTGATAAAAATTAATATCTTGAAATATAACTTCAAATGTATTAGTTGAAGTTTAAATACACACTTTTTTTCCTTTTTTTTATTATAAATAATATACTCAGTATTCAAATTCTGCATACCTTCTACACTTATAAGTACACAATGGCCATTAATCATTTTCTGTTAAGTGATAGGAATCCTTGTGCATTCTAATTCCTAAATAAAGTTGTTTACTCAAGGCTAAGCACAGGAAATAAATACAGCCATACACTTAGACCGAAACTGCAGCATGGGAATGGTCCATTCAGCTCAGGGGAATAACAACTGTATGAAGCTCACACATAATCTATTAAATATACATTATACATTTTGGGGTTATACAAGGTTGTTATACAGTTGGCTGACCTACATAAATGCACTCTGCTGTAAGCAGTTCCCAGTAGTCCAGACTACTGTTCTCAATAGTGGGTAAGAGATCATACCTTTGAGTGACTTTTTACATAATGAAAATGTTTGAATATGCTCCAGTTTCACAGAGCAGAGCTGATATAGTTTCAGAGGCAAGTGCTGCTATCAGTGTTTTCTCTGGATCTACTTTAGAAACAGACCAAAGAAAGATTAGACCACATACTATTTCACAAATCGAAACAAAACTGTTCACTTGAATACAGTGAAATATTTACATTTATTTGAGTAGGCCTACTTTTTTTTTTATTACGTCCAAGAATATCTTATTGTAAAGTAGATAGAACTTACATTTACTGGTGTTGGAATATTTTTCAGACTCCATACCTTTACTCCTATACTTGAGCAACATGTTTTTCAGTGCAGTATCAGTAATGGGACATAATTGTATTTCTAGCCCTGCCCTTTCAGATTTTTTTCTTGTTTTTATGGCGTTGGAAATGCCAGTACATCCTTCAGTTAAAGAAAGCCATTATTGTTTATTTTATTTTATGTTTATATTTACTATGCCATCAGTCTCTCTTTGCAAATTTGGCAGATTCTGTAGATATCAAATGTGGTTTTGCAGGAAGTGAAATGCTTTATGGCATATTCTTTGTGTGTATAATAGTCAAGCCAAGCCCTTTTGGAAATAGGGGGTTGATAGCTGTGGACCAGTTTATCCTGGAGGGTGGGGCATCTTTTAAATGTTACAAGAGGTAGTACAACGGGTAGTATTATCACTTACAATAGTACTCCAGTTCCTTTTTGTGATTTGTTTTATTGTGTTAGCCTCAGAATTGTATGTGATACTAAAAATAGAATGCTTCTTGTTAGTCTTAGAGGCATGTCTTGCCATATATATATTTTTTAATCTACACAATTTAAAGTGACTTTTTTTTTCCAGAATCAAGTTCAAAAGATGCCCCACTGGTCCACAGCTATCAACCCCCTATTTCCAAAAGGACTCTAGACCAGTGGGCTCCTATAAATGCAGTAACTGTAGTTCTTATAACAACATCAGACTAAAAGATTTCTGGACATTCAGAGGCAGAATTCACACAAAGAATATAATATAAAGCATTTAAATTCCTGCCAAACCTCATTTGCTATCTATCTATCTATCTATCTAGGCTGATCTGGTGAATTTGCAAGTTTTTGTTTTTTTTTACATAGGGATGACAAAAAATCCACTACAGGACAGACAGGCAGAACATAAATAAACTGTACAGGCATTACAAATTCCCTGATGGCCAGACACTTTTTGGACTTCCATAATAACAGCCCGGCCTCCAAGCACACAGAATAAATAGTGCATACATGAATAGTGAAAAGGAAACAGACTTAAAAAATTGCATCAACAATAAATATTTTGGATCTGCACACTTCTACAACCTCAACACCCCGGACTAAATGAGGGCCTTTTTTTTTATAGTTATTTACTATTCTTGTTTAAATTATTCACTGTTTTTAAATGTGTTTTTTTGGTAGCGGGGTAACACCACAACACCATCATCTGTTTTTAGTCACTCTTCACTTCATAGATTCATAGGTTTACTTTTCACATTGCCTGTCACGTGGAGAACTATTGGTGAAACACTTGTATTTATTATCACCTTTTGAATTTTGTTTGTCCTGCTGATGAAGGCCAGAAGGCTGAAACACATTTGAACTCAGGTCTATTAGACATGCCATAGCCAATAAAGGCATTTAAACATTTTAAAGAGAATACATGGGTTTTCTGTATTTTTGTATATTACGTGCAACTTAATTATAAACAAATTATTAGTCAAAATGTCTATTTCTTGATAATAAGACACCTGCAATACTTTTTCACTCTTTCATGACTAATATGGATGGCTCAATGTGTAGATTCAAGATTATTTTCTATTACTTGCATTTTTTTTTTAAACTAACAGTATCCTGGCATGAGTAAAATTTTGGCTACATTACTCCCCACTATAGTGTAAAGTTCTAGTCTCCACTCTGATTATGTATTATCTGTATTGTATTCTGATTATTATTATCTGTTTAGCTATGTTGTATGATTTAATTTGTTTATATAATTTGACTATTTTATGTCAACATTTTCTTTAGGGTATGGGTTTTTCTATGGTGGCTCTGTATGCTGTTCTAGTGAGCTGAAGGACTCTGTATCTCTTTGAGGTGATAAGCAAGCTGCTTTGGACCGTGTTTGGCCCATGTCCCATAATCCATTACAGTGTTGAAAAATAGAAGAGCAAACAGTGTCCACTGCTCACTGACGTACATTCATGCACAGCACACTTTCCATGTGTGGGGCTCCTTAAATGGCCACAAAGCTATAAACAACACTGTTATGTTTATTATAGCATGTAACACCGCATTTTGAAAAAGGAGAGACATTTTTTTCTAACATTAAGTTTAACCAATAATTTAACAGTGCACTGTGTAACTGTGCACTGTGTCTGCTGGAGGGTCAGTCATCTGCTTGTCTCCTAGAATGTTCCACTTAAACTATGAATCTCCACAGAGACTTGTAAGCCAAATTACAGAGTTACACCTTTAGTTGAATAAATGCAAGACAAACTAATTTAATACTATATTGTGGACAATTTAAAGTAAGCCAATAACATCTCCATGGACATGATTCCAAATAGATTGTGGACCCACTCCAGAAAAGGTACACAGTGCACCTAAATTCAAACATTCACACAAATATCCAGTTTTCATTACGAGCACTGAATTTTTCATTAAAAACTCCACAGGGTTAATTATTACATGACTGCAGACACGCTACAGCTGTCTTTGCTTAGAAAATTAACAATGTCAACACAGAGGCTGCTTATTATAGCAAGTAAGGAATCCATTACAGATAACAAGAAAGTAATTTATTCATGGAAATTACTTTTTTTCTTTTAATAGTGCGGGGTTGTGTACAATAAATAGACATTTGAATTGGCCCGGTGGAATAATTCTAATCCAACAGAACACACAATAATGGCTTTAGTGTTGTAACCCCATTTAAATTTTTGTGTCAATCAAATGAGCATGAAAATATATATATATATATATATATATATATATATATATATATATATATATATATATATATATATATATATATATATATATATATTATTATTATTATTTATTTAGGAATGGTCCGGGTAGTGTGTTTGGTAAAGCTAAAATGTGTTTGGTAAAGCTAAAATAGATTGATGGCCATATAAAAATAAAAAATAAAAAAATTTACTGACTGTAATACTTTTCTCTCTCCGCTAGGGGTCACTGCAGGACAGATGACACGACGGGAAACACAATGGCCCGCTGACTATATGAGAAATGGAGAAAGAAACTGGCATCACAGACTACTCCACACCCAACCCAAATGAGGATTTAAAATGTCACAGCCATATGTCTAAAATACCAGGGGTTACAGAAGCCAGAATACAGTTATGATTATATGGCATCCAGGTTAGGCAGATAATTCAACAGCAGCTTTTATATTACATTCAAATAAAAGAAAATAACAGATGACAGTATCTACTGTTAAAATGGACCACCCAGTAAGTATAATTTTATGTAATCTAGAGTTTTGAAACAAATAAAAAAGGCCATCTTTCTAGTGGCTTCTAAGTAGAGAGAGATTGATTTTGTGGTATATGCTTAAAAAGTATGATATTAACATTTGAAATAACAAGTGATGTGAACTGATTCACAAATTCATAAATTTCAGAACATGTTTGTAGAAGTCTAAATTATTATTTTTTTCTGTAAAAAACAAACACGAAATATTGTTCTTTGCAGAGGACATTGTATGATCTAAATAATTGCAGCCTTTTGTGTGAATTATGCCAATTCAAATTGTGATTTTGAGTCTGTTGTGATAGATTGTGCAGCTCTAATGTAATCAGTAATTCAAAAGTGTGATAAAAATACTAAATCAATATTGTCTTTTTAGTTTGCAGAAAACAGGATGCCAGCACAGAATCCTTAGAGAAGTCAATGGCACCATGGTGAATGTGGCCCTCGCAGTGATCCTGTGCCTGCTGATCGCTCTGACTGTGGGGGGTAATGTCCTGGTGTGTCTGGCTGTGTGCGTGTCCCGTCGTCTCCGCTGCCTCACAAACTGCTTCATCGTTTCCTTGGCGATAACAGACCTCTTACTGGGGGTCCTGGTCCTCCCCTTCTCTGCCCTCCTCCAGCTCAACAACGACTGGCCTCTGGGTCCCGTCTTCTGTAACTTCTACATATCCATGGATGTAATGCTTTGTACAGCCTCTATTCTAACATTATTGGCCATCAGTGTTGACAGGTACCTTGCTGTAACCATGCCTCTTAGATATACCTCTATGGTTTTACCCTGGAAAGTAGCAGTAGCAATGATAACAGTTTGGACAGTGTCTGTAGCTGTATCTTTTTTGCCCATCCAAATGGGCTGGAACACTGTGAACGGGACAGTGCAAAATCAAGGCCCATATGCATCGGAGAGGAGATGTCGATTTGAGCTCAACCGGCCGTACGTCCTCACTGATTCTCTTCTCACTTTTTACCTTCCTCTTATAGCAATGTGCTGGACTTATCTGAAAATACTGCGCATAGCTCGAGCACAGGCCAAGCGCATCACCAGCTCTCGGCCCACCTGCGTAACCACATACAACCGCAAAAACTCCTCCACTGTTACCCATGTGGTCTCCAACGTGACAGCAATAACACTCCGAGAGCACAAAGCCACGGTGACACTGGCAGCAGTCATAGGGGCATTTGTGATCTGCTGGTTGCCATATTTTATCATGTTCACAGTTTTAGGTCTAAAGGAGCACCCTGACCCCAACACAGTGCCAGAATACCCCATAGTGCTGTGGCTGGGTTATGCCAACTCCGCCCTGAACCCTTTTCTATATGGAGCGTTGAACAGAGACTTCAGGTCAGCATACTCACACATACTCAGGTGTAGATGGCCCTTCAGTGGGTGGAGGAGCAGACAGCCATCGCCCATTATGACCGGAGGTAAAAGTGAAGCAGTTCAGCTTAGTGAGAAACATATTTAAATTTGACTCATACACGTTCATCTTGTTTACCTTTAGCCAGAGATAACCTTACAGAGGTGACACTATTGTGTGGACACATGCCCAACACATGCAGGGCAGGACTCACAGACCAGAGCTTCAGTCTTCAAGAAATACACAGCGGGGCAGCTCCAACCACAGCTGTACAACTGACAAATGGCACCACACCCACAGACGTCAATGGAAATGACAGGTAAGTCCCTGTTACAGTACTAAAATATTAAAGAAGTCAGCCTTTTGTCCGTAAAATACAAAAATGCAATGAACCAAAACATACTATCAGATGGCGTGAAGGTACTCAAGATAAATGCTCTCTATATTTCTTTACATATACCAGCTGACAAACATCTCAGACCAAATAATAACTACACCTGATTTATAGCCTTAATAATACATGAACAAAGAATTCATTATGAGCAAATATTTTATTAAGACTGATTCAGGCTTAGCTGTAATTAATCACTTAATTAGCACAAATACAAATTCAGGCTTATCCTATCTTGAATTTTATTATTTGTTTATTATAAAGTCTTTGTTCATGCTTTATTAAGGCAAATTAAGCTGTAGTAATTATAAAGTTTTACTAATCCAAGCAGAAAGAAATAGATGTTTAAAAAGTTGTCAAATATTATTTATTTTTGCAATAAAATAAGTAATTTTACAGTTATATACTTTTTATTAGGATTGACACTAGGTTTCTACATGTTTACTGAACACATTTAATTCTTTTTAAGCCCAGGTCATGCTGAGCGTAAACTATGACAGGGGAAGAATTGTCAAGATGAAGCTGTCTCGAAGACAAGGTACAACTGGTTAACCAAGACACCAGCTAAAATGGACAGCGTCTAGTTTTTACAGACGTTAACTTTGCTTCAGTGTCCTTTGTGTCAATGTGTAGCTCTGAACAAACAATGTGTGACACCAGCTCAAGCCCCAGATGAAGCCATATGGCCAAATGTGTTTTCTGCCAAAAGTCCTGCTTCTTGTTTCAGTCATTACCATCGGCAGACTGTAGATGCATGTGAATATAACTGGTGTAAGATGAAACCATGTTAACTGCTACAGAAATGCCACTTGGACTTTTACATAAACAAGATTAGGTTCTGTTTCAGAAATAGAAAATTGTATTGCCATAGTATTTTCTGTGTAAAGGCAAATTTATCCATTTATACCATAATCTGCAACTTCCTATAGGCTATGGTATAAATGAATTCAGTTGCTAAATAAAGCAAATAAATGGAAATAAAACTTAATTTAAGAGTACAATTTCATTTAAGTCATATTTAGTAAAATGTTTACAAATAAACTTTTTTTTTTGAAGACCACAATGCACTATAATGTTTCTGACTATAATTAATAATTTGACATTTTAAGTCCATTACCACAATCTGAATTTGTTGTACAACTGCAGTTTTTCCTGCATTTCCTGATGTGAATGTACAAACCCATAAATGCTCCATGCAAATCTATCATGTCTCAGCATTTGAAAACATATAATAAAGAAAAAAAAATCCAAGTACTTATTTTCTAACTTATTTTAAATTGTACAAAGTGAGGGAATATGACATCTTGGAAGTAAAAGACTCCAGCTGGCCATGAAAACAGAAATGTATGCCACACCTACCTTTTATTCCTTATACAGTATTACTTTTTGAAGTATTAAATTCATATCTAAAATTCATTCCCACTCACTTAACTTTGTACGACACTATTACACCTCTTAATACAAATGTCACTATATTAAACTTTTTCTGCAATAGAGACAGGACAACCTCCTAAAACTAATATGAAGAGGGGTCATAAACGTGAGGAAATGACACTGAAGTGGCATTAATATTTGATTAAGTCTTTTAATGGCTAAAACCGTGAATGGTTAACACAGCAGCAGCAGTGAGGCATTCATCAGAGTTCATCTCTTTGAGCGTCTCTTTTCCTCTATAAGCTGTATGCGTCCCCTGACACCTCTGGTCAACTGCTCCTCTCCTCCGCACTTTCATTTTCTCTGCTTTTTGAGCTGACCATTGACCGCCCAAACTACATGAAGGTCATTAATCATTGCTTCTTTTACATCAAATTAATCCGTGGTAAAAACGCTACATTTTCAACAGAGCAATGCCACACAAACAGGCCAGCACTACACAGGCTATCAATCATACCCATTGTCATTATTCAAGTGTGTCATCGACAGAGCCCTCTTCTTCTCGCTCTCTTTTCCACTTTCTCTGTCTGTTCTCTCCATCAAACGCTGTGGATTCATGAATCATAAATCTTATGAATGCCATCTAAAGACTGCTCAGCGCTATGAGCTGGAGACATGATTGATAGACGCAAGTGAATGAGGCGAAAGCAAAAACGATGGACAGAAGGTGGTAACCAGCGACACCCAGGTCAAAGGCAGAAGTTCAGGGGTCAAACAGATAAGAGGATGTACACAATATGGTCAAAAAGAACTAGAAAGGCCCTGGAGGGTGGGACAGAGGAGGAACGGAGTGGTTAAAAGGTTTGGAGAGAGAAAGAGAGAAAGAAATGGAGGCAGAGGTAGGGGGAGGTAGGGGATGCTGCCACACTGAGGCTAAAGCCATAACTCATCTTTTATTAAAAATAATGAAAAAAACTTAATGAGTTAATAATATCTGGAGAAAGAGGAAGACAGAGATGGAGGAAGGGACAAGGAAGGACAGAGTAAAGAAGGAAAGGAGCAAAGGATGCAGAAGCGGGTCAACACTTGTGTGTCTGTGTGCCCTTTAGTCGTTTACATCAGCTATCAAAGTTCACACAAGAGCCATTAGACACACAGCACATAACTACTGCCTTCCCTCTTTTTCTGCCGACCCAAATCCCACAGCCTGCTTGGTAATTAAAGGCACTTAACAACCAATTAACCGTGATGAGCTAAATTAGCAGGATATTGTCTCCTTTGACTAGGCTACTGGATTAGCAGTGTGTTGGAACAAACCTCAGTGGCCCGTGTTTGCATGTAGGCAAATGACGGATTAATTACTATTAAAACATCAGCATCTTAATGAGCTTGGAAACAATTAGAGCGGTCGTTAGCATGTGGAGAGCGGCTGAGAAAACAAGAAGGGGGAGCGAGCACAAAACAGGAGAGAAATCTTCATTGGGAAGCAATACTGATTAAATGGACGCACGGTCTCACTCATCGTCCAATATCCACGGACTTATTAAATACATGACATCACCATTTGTCTTTGGTACCATCAAGCTACTTTCCTGCTGCCATTATCCTCTCCTTGTTCTGAGTCCTCCCCAACTCTCTCCAGCGCCTCACCTCTCATAAAAAGCCTTTTTCTTGCTCTTCCAGTCTTTTCTGCACTTTCTGCGTTTTAACTCCCATTCCTCCCATCCCTCCTTCATGCTTGGGGGGCACAGTCCTGTGAAGGAATTTAATATGCAACTTTTATATGAGAAACCAATCGCATACGTCTGGGTCTATTGGGCTCGCAATCTATCGGCCCGGATGGCTAATGCAATAGAAAGAGCTGGGGCTATTTATCACACGGGGAGCTATCTTTTCCTCTGTCTCTCTCTCTCTCCCCCACTCTCACCTCGCTCGCTCTGTCTTTATTCAAGCCCAGATTCCAGGCTGCCACTAAATCAGGCCAACTATGAGCTATGGCTGCCCAGAGGGCATCTTCTCTTTTATAGAGGGATTTGGATTTTGTATCTACTGGTTCCTCAGTGGTCATTGCGACTGCACTAACGGAAGCTATAAACATTCAACAAAGCAACACAACAACGTACACGTCCCTGTGCCCGGCAGTAATGACCACAGACATCATACTTATGTGTGAGCTTCTATAAATGAAATAAAAATCATCGTGGGCATTTAAAACAGCATATTGGTGTACAAGCTCTCAAGACATAACAAAACATAACAAAACAAAACGTAAGACAAAGAAGGCATTTATCTGTATAGTAACAGTTTACACCACAAAAGTAGTTCACAAAACTAACAGCATGGACACAGCAATGCCACTTTACAACTTTACCACTGACAAACAAAAAGAAGGGCACACTCCAACCACCTGCAGCACTTAAAATGCCTTCTGAAAACCAAATTCATTTCAACAAATTAGGCCGTATTACTGGCCACTATGTAATCGCTGATAGCAATTAATAAGAAATTAGTCACAATCAGCCCTATATTAACATCTCACCCAGGGGCCGCGGCTGGAAATTAATAACCCAAGATTCATCTGTGTTACTGTCTTTTGGCCTGCTCCCCCTCACACACACACACACACCTACGCCCACCTATACTGTCCATGAATCACCTCGAAGACACTCATTTTTTTCTAAGTGGATCATCTCATACAATCTGCTCATGTCAGCGAGCCAGCTTCCTCTTTACCAGGGTGTGAAAACCCCCTCAAACACACATACATGTCTAAGGCTGCTCTGGCCCTGTTGGTTCTACAGCATTTTTAATAGATTCATGTCATCAAAACTTTTTTGAGTGGCCAGTAAATATTTAGGAAAAGAGTGAGCTTATTTCACAGAGATTTTAAGGTTGTTGTTTGATTGTTTTTGCTTGCTTTTGTTGTTGATGGAGATTATTTTTACACTTTTATTTGTGAAAAACTCAAACAATCTTAATCCCTACCAGAGTCCCGTGCCGCTCTTTTGGAGACGCTCCCGTGGCGTAGATTTGATCCTTCTAAAATGTAATTATGTGTGCTAAGTGCGTTTGAAAGGTGCTACCACAGAGTAAACGATTGAGGGGGCACTGATGCAGAGAGATCCCGCCTCTAGGGGTCCTCACACCAATCAGCGAAGCACACCAAGAATCAATTAACACCGGTGGGAGGGGGCAGAGGGTAAGGCACCGCACACACTGGCCACACAGGGTACTGTCTGAGGAGATATCCATCACAACGCACACTGAGGCCTATGCCAGCAAAGAACATCCTGGAGAGGCCCGGCGCTTGTGGTGTAAGGTTGGGGAACAGATTGAAGGTCAGTGGGGGGGTCAGGCCAGGGTCACCCCCGCCTGAGCACTGAGTCTGTAGACTGGTTTATGCTCACTGAATGTGTGTGGATACAATATAAAGCTTGACCAAACCAGGCTGGCAGGCAGAAGTGAATAAGATGGATGGTGTTGATTCATCCTACAAATTCATTGCTCTCCTCGAATCCATGGAGAATAAATACATCCACCAAAATTATTAAGCAAGGGACCAAAAGAGTATTTCACATTTCATATTCTTTCCTTCTGTGGTGTCGACTTTTCAAGTGGAGCAACATGAAAACCATTCATCATAGAATCTTTACCATAAAATTATTGACAGAAAGACAGATGAGGGATTATATTTGTTACAATTTGTCACAGTTGAACAAAAGAAAATCATCTGTCATTGCAATCTTGAATTACAAAATCTCGCTCAAGAGGGAAAAAAAAGAAAATTGAGAGAAGACCGTAAGACAATGCATTTCTGCTACAATACTGAAAAAGCCAAATAAAGTGATCAAAGAGTGTCTACCATTTGCCCGTGAACGTTGCACTGTGAAACCCCACCTCGGCTCTTCCTCTCATCTCCATCTGTTAGCCCTAGCACTGGCCTGCACTGCACCCCCTCTTCTGGTTTCCTCTCTGCTCCACTCTGGCCCTCCAGCCCTCAGGGAGGTAAGGTGATCTGCCCGTGCTGGTGTAAGTGACTGGGATTAGTCTCCTTCTCTGTCTGTCTGTTTGATCCCAGCACTAATGACTCCAGTGGGACTGGCCTCTGATAATGGGAAATCAATATAGAGAAGAGCTCCGGAGTGGCCTCACTTAGCTCGAGCTCTTTCACGCCTCAGAGCAAACTGCCCCTGTGTATCCCACTGTAACTGTGTGTGTGGACATGGTCACGCAGGAAATGAGCATATGGACTGTTTTCAAAAGACCCCTCCCATGTGGGCAGTGTTTTAACGTTGCTCTGATAAGAGATTACTCAGTCCCCTCGGATATGAGCACTTTTAGAGAATTACTTCTTTACAAAAATACTTTTGGAAATACAAGATTTTTATGTTTGGCTATTATCATACTACTGTATGAAATAAATAATAAAATGTGTAGGATGTGAAGATTAAAACAATCTATCAGTGATGAAGCAAATCAAAGGTGAGAGAGATTACATTTTCAGGGTCAATAAGCAACAATATGTTTGTGTGGCTTTGTGTGTCCAATCAGTCACAGTCGTCAGCCTGGAGCTAGACAGGTGGGGCTGGTGGCATGAAGCTGGTGCCCCCCCCTCGCCCTGAGGGGCCAGAAGGCCCGTAGAAGCAGGGGGCTGGAGTAGTCCCTCTGCCAGGCCTATAGAGCTCTATGTGCTGGTGGCAGCTGGTCCTCTGCCCCCCCATCACCACTCTCCTGAACACCCTGTGGGCGAGGCAACAGGCAGGGTGATGAGGTCAAGAGGCAACAGAGAGTGGCTGGACATGCATATAATCGGCTTTTATGAAGCGGAGAGAATCCAGACAGAGAGAGATGGACAACACAGTGACGACGCAATTCAACTGAACACAAGCAGTAATGAATTAGCACATTAGCAGTGCATCCAGGGGTGTTCAGAGCGCTCAGCTGCTTTTAAATTAACATGCATCCTGACACGACCCCGCACATGTGCCCATGAATTAATGACTCATCATTAAATTCATAAATTACTAAATAACATCATGAATTTGTCCGTCCAGACTCAAAGCTGTATTACAATGATAATTCAGTGTCATCGCTAAGCAGACAAACTTTTACTTATCACTCAATAATAAAGATAAGCCAAGGTTTAGGGATCATAGCAACAACCACAAAAGCAGACCAAGCTGTGGGAAATACAATAGTTCAAACCCAAGCCATGTGTTCAATTATCATCAGCTTCAAATGACCCCCATTAATGCTTTAACTCTGTCACATCCTCATCTCTGTCTCCTCTCTCTCCTCTCTCTCTCTCTCTCTTTCTCTCTTTCTCTCTTTCTCTCTTTTTGCCCATAACTCAGTGTGCCTGTGGTTAACTCACATCCTCCTCCTCTCTGTCTCCTCCCTGGCTTTAACCAGCGTGAAGAGGCAGCCATGCATTCAACCATCAGACAGGCTAACATGGCCCATACACTCATACAGACACACACACACACACACACATACACACATATACACACATATACACACACATACACACGCACACCACACAGGGCATTGTTTCCTCACTGGTAAAGTATTTACAATTCAATGAAATTAATATCTACTATGTCGGGGCATCTTTCCCTTGTTAAATATGCATGCTGATACAGAGACATCCTGATTTGTGTACAAGACCTATGTTCAGTTGATTGCTGCTTCCTCTTTTAATCACTATTTGTCTGCTGTTAACTGTCCTCCACTGAACTAATACATCATTCTCAAAGCAAACAATTCAGCTTTCATAAACTATTAAGTGAAATATCCCTTTTTTCCCCAATAAATTGCATCTGCTCATGACAGCCTTCATCTGGCCATTCAAATCCAGCAATATCTCTGCAGCCCTATGTTTGACATTTACACTGACATTTAACATGTGCTTTTTAAATGTCTGACACTTACGTTGTTTCCTCAGAGCATTAGTCCAGTGACAGGAGCACGATATGAAGATGATGGCCACGATTGTCCCTTATGGGGGATCCCATTGCTCTCTGCTCTCATCCAACAGTCCCACTGAGGATGTCAATATGAAACCCAACACGCAAGCACTGGAGCGCTTGGGCTCCTGTTATAGACAAAAACACAGCTTTGTGTATTGACGGACTGCTGCCTGTATGCATCTGTAATGTCCAAGTGCAAATTAGATTGAAATCAGATATTTTTTTCCTCTCTATCAACAAAGACAAAATATTCAATATAAAAACAAATTGTTAAATAACTGAAAAAACTGTAAAAAATCACTAAGTGTGCAGGGAGTTTTACCACAAAATCCTCCTCAGTGCAGTGAGTGCTTAATCACAATTTATCAACTATTGAGATAATTATTTTAGGAAATGATAATTGTTATTTACTAGCCTATGCAAAACAGGCTGTACTAAGGGAAGAGGATTTATGACAGATTTATGACAGACAGAAAACATACATATTTGGTGTTATTTTCATAAAATACATTTTGTCTGTATATACATATAGCCTACTCCATTGTGTCCACAAGTAGCATCACTTTAATGTCATCAGGGAAATATTTTATAAAAATTAGTTTGCAACTAATCGATTATTCTAAAGAATAGATTAATTGATTATCAAAATAACTGTTGCAACCCCAGTAAAATGTAAACTTACAGCTGCATGAACAAGTCACAAAGAGAAACAAGAACAAACCCAAATCAGATCAAATTATACAGCCTGCAACTGACTAAAACCATTATTGTTTCACACAAAAAATAATCATAATGATGATTCAGAATTAAAATCTAGACTGAACTCAATGCAAAACCAAAGTTTCTCATTGGTTGTGTTCAGCCTGTGACTGGAGCAGTGCTGCCAACAGTAAAGCACATTTCACATCATTACTCCCAATGTAAGGTGATTTACAACATTGCTCTCCCGCTTGTAAAGCCCCATAAAGCAGTGTTTATGCAACTTTTAAAAATCTACAGCCTTGTAAATGTTGTCAGATGGCCCATGCCAGTGTCTTTCAGCTTAATACTACCTATATTAAATAGTTTAAATATTTCATAAGGACGGTTTTTAGAGCGAGGGAGGGGAAATCGTTAGCTGCGGTAAAGTTTCATTAACTGGTCCCCATTCCGCTGCGAGGCAAACTCATCTCCTCTTATTGTAATAAAACAATCTCTGCGCTCTCAGTGCTCTCTGCGCGCCACCGCTCTCTCTCCGCTCATCTCCCTGACTTTTACATCATAATAATACACTACATCCCCTTTAAATGCACTATTACTTACCGCTGCCTTTTCATATTGGAACATCACGGGCACTTTAGCGACAATATAAAAGCGTGTCATTCATTATTCACAAGCAGCCGGCCTCGTCCCCTCCTTTTTAAAAAGTCAGGCGCGCTGCTGAAATTGATAACGGCGAAGAGACGCGCAATAAAAACGCAGCCCCCGGGTACCAGAGCAGCAGCCCAGACCCCCCGATTATGCAGATCAAGTGGTAATTTCTCAAACAAATCGCACTCTTTCACTCTTTTGTTGTCGTTTCTTTTTGGACTTTTGGAATCACCGTGTCAGTTTTTAGATTGCCCGTGGATAAAAAACGCCAGGATTGATGTGCGTCTTAATTGTTTGCCCGCTGCTGCAGGCTTTTTCAGAAACACTAAACATTTTGGCCTACACCAGACAATGACAAAAGCTTAGGGGGTGTCGTTTCCTTTACTTTCATAGTATTTTCTTTTTGTGATGAAAGAATTATTGAGGAAAGGGTAAAATGTGTTCTTTCAGACCGTCAATAAATTAATAAAGTGTGCCAAAGGGCGAGGTGGGGGTTGGTCTGGCGCATTTTGGATAAGATGTAATACTGTGATATCTCCGCAGGTCACCGCTAATGTGTAATAATTACTTTTAATCACTGGATTACACCAGATTACCAACACTTAACACATGACCGGTCTGCCCTTTACGTTCATCGTTATTTGTCTAAAGTGAACAAACTGTGGTGTAGCCTATTGTACTCTTTCAATCTTTCAAGGAAAAATTATATGACTGCACTTGCACAAATTTACTTGGGTTGTTGTTGTTGTCAAAACCGGACAAACAAATAAGGGAAATGTCCATGAAGCTGACAGCTAACAGCCCCATCATCTCTCCCATCAAAAGCCACCGGTGAGCGCGCATATGGCACGGAGATGCGGCCAACGCTCAGACTCTGTCCATATTGCCAAACAAACACCTCGGGCCTTGTCCCGTCTCATATTGCTTCATAAGGTTTTATTGTGAGGGGCCAAGTGGCGTGTTTATATTAACTTCAATACAACGGCATATCTTTGCATTTTTGTGTGACGTTTTTAGCCGCAGACTGCACATTAATAGTTTAATAGATTTCATTTTGAAAGAAGTGCCAACTTTGAGATTCAAGTTTTAATACAACAATAACCTTTATTTTCCACCTAAAACGGACGCGTTATAACTTTCGTGTAGCTACATAAGGCTTACAGAATAGATGATAATTATTATTACACACCATCTTTCATCATAAATTGACTTGATTGCCCCAATAAGTTTCTCTGCTTAGTTTGTAACGCTGATGTAATGTGATAGTTTAAAAAGCCACCTGCCGCATCCACACCACACGCGCATTTGTCTGTCCCACAGACAAGTTAGTGCAAATGAGATTATGGGGTCACTTTGGGCGCCTCTACCATTGAATGTGAGCGCTCAGCTACTACTTCCAGAGGCCGGACACTTTATCTGCAGTAGCCCATGGCTTTCCCTTGTCATCTCATTTAATGTGCCACAGCAACAAGGAACAAATAAGAGGGGCGCACTGAGCATCATAACTATTGGTTTTCCACGTCCCTATTTAAACTAGGCCTAAATACAGGATTATTTGTGCGTCATTGCGCGAACACTGTTCGACCGAATTTTTGAAATCAATTTACAATTAATTCCTTATTTAGTTATTTATTCAATTAACTAGCTTCCATAATCTTGTAAACGTATAAAATACCATTGGTATTCTGGTCAACATAAATGCAGTATAGTAAAGCAGGAACACATATTTGGCAAAGTTGTATTGGATACATTTCCATTCCAGTTAGACGGTTTTCATGAAGACATATCACTGTGGAAGTCACATAAACCTCAGTCAATCTGTGCGTAAAGGACAAATTACGCGCGCTAAGGTCGGTAATAGTCGCTATTCAATTCATCTAAAACATAGCCTGCTCTTCAAATCGTTTTTAGAACATTTCATGTTTATATTCGAAACATAAACGGAGTTATACGGAGATGGAACAAATGTAAAAGCACTGATCTGAGTGATTCCCGATGAGACACATTTCCATAAAGTTGTCATCGCTCGTAACTCTTCATTATATTGATAAAGATGTTGCGCGTAACGGCGACTCGGAGAAGAGCCATTTGTTGACATCTAGAAGGTCTATCAGTCTAGCGCCGGTGGTTATGGGACATGTTGGTTATTGTGCCAAATAGAGGGCCCACTCCCATTAACTTTCAATCAGTCACGGTGCTGGCAGCCAATGGAAGGCGCGCAGAGATGGAGGGGGCGTTTTGACGTGTGGAGAGAGGACAGAGCGTCACATCTCTCTGAACGCCCATCAAAGTTTGAGCGCAGAGCATGCAGAGAGGAGAGTCTTTACAAGAGGCCTGCTGGTGCGTCACGGACAAGAACTGGACACGAGCGAAGAGACAACGATGGAGACACGAGCAGCTTTGACTAAAGGAACAGTTTAACCACACTGTGAAGCAAATATAGAGAGCAATCTTTTTTCTTTTGAAGCAGTACAAAGACGGAAATGGAGCAATCACCGAGCGCAACGAGTCCTCCTCCCAAACCGGCCCAGCACGAGCCCATCAGTTTCGGTATAGATCAGATCCTGGGAGCAGGGACAGAACCAGAGAGCGCACGCACAGCCGGACGACAGAGCGGTTCGGACTCAAGTAGCGGAGATGGGTATTATAGTTTGGGGAGTCCAACAGGAGCCAGTGCGCCCTCTTACACTGCTCTCTCCATCTCCCTATCTGGCATTATGCCCCCAGTGGACGCCGCCGGCTCGTACGGAGAAAGTAGGAGTTTAGGGAGCAGAGGGGTTATTCGGGTTCCGGCACATAGACCCGTAACGGCTACTGGACCTCCAACCCCCGTGCAGAGCGCAGTTCCCGGGTTCGGAGGGCTCTGTTTCCCATGGATTGGGAACAGGTTTGCAAAGGACAGGATATCAGGTAAGACAGGCTTTTGCTGTCATTGATATTTCACATTTCAGTGAAATCGTCGATTAACAACCAGCACGTGTTCATAGCTTTAAGGGTTATTGACAAGACTTTTAATTTTTCATAAATATTACAGAAGCACAAACAGACACTATAAAAGAAAGAACTGAAAGAAAAGATATTAACAACATAGTAGTAGCCAATGGCCTACTATTTCTTTCTTAAATGAAATATTGTGTAACATTTGGGCCTAGTGCAATCAGCAAAAATAGAACCTTAATAATAATATAATAATAATAATTAATAATTATTTTAGACACGTTGAGAAACATGTTTTATTATTATTATTATTATTATTATTATTATTATAGGGTAGCCATATTTTAAGTAAAAAATTAATAAATAACTGATTAGTCGCCAATAAACGGCTTAATTATCTCAAACAACTAAAATATTCTTTTGCCTATGACAGACAGAGAAATCAAAATGCATGGTCTAGGCTAGAATCTTTGACATTTCTGGATACATCTGCAGGCCTATTCTATGACCCATATTACCTTTAGTAAACATTATTTATTATTGGCAATCATTTGGCAGTTATTAACTATGGATGTGTGTGTTTTACCTGCAGCTGCCCTGGTGCCGTTTGCCGTCACGAGGCGAATAGGACATCCATACCAGAACCGAACACCTCCAAAAAGGAAAAAACCACGCACATCTTTTTCACGTGTACAGATCTGCGAGCTGGAGAAGCGCTTCCACCGTCAAAAGTATCTGGCTAGTGCCGAGCGGGCCGCTCTGGCCAAGAGCCTCAAGATGACTGACGCACAAGTTAAGACCTGGTTTCAGAACCGCAGGACCAAGTGGAGGTGAGTTATATGACTTGATACACATAGTTTTAGAGTTTGTTCACAACATCACACATCTAAAGTACCCAGGTATAGATGTTATTAGCCATTTATTATTAGCTGCGTTTCATTCGGAATAACTTTACGCGTAAACGCTTCCGAATATGTCACGTGATTTCAAGGTGGCATGACCCTAGATGACTCGGAACAAAATGCAAATACTGAAATAAAAGTAGTTAGTCAGTCAAATAATATAGGCTACTATTATTACTGCAAAATAAATGAATGGGTTATGATCAGTGATAAAATGTTAGGGTATATAGTATGCTAATAGTTTGTAAAAAAAAAAAAATGGCCCATATTACATTGAGCTTCATATTATTGAATTATATATAGGCATATATATTAATGATTTATTTAAATTACAGTAAGTAATGGGTTACGTCTGTGAGTTTATGGTTAAAATGTATATGCGCAGTTTCACTTTGCAAATTTTGAAAAAAATATGCTGTTCGTTTTAAAAACATGCAATTATTTCTTTTCTTTTTTTAATGAACTTATTTTTCAAGGAAAAAGTTTAATTTTTTATTTTCTTTTATGCCGTGTTCAGGAGACAGACAGCCGAAGAGCGCGAGGCGGAGCGTCAACAAGCCAATCGTCTCATTCTCCAGCTGCAGCAGTCCGCCCTCCAGAAGTCCCTCGGCGAATCAGCGGTGTCCGATCCACTGTGCGCCCACAACTCCTCATTGTACGCGCTGCAGAACCTTCAGCCGTGGGCCGAGGAGAGGGAGTAGACCCTCAAGCAAATGCACTGAGTCCCAAACTCATTTTATTACTTATGTTGTGGAAGATTATGCACTCTTACGCACAGTTACGAGGATTGCGTCTTCCCGACTTTGAATGTGGACCTTAAAATGCGCCCTAATCCTAAGGAAAGCGTTTAATCTTGGACAAAATCCTTTATCTGGAGCCTGTCACACTTCTCATATGTGCCACCTTGTCGTTGTTATCAGTGTATATCTTGTGAAGAAAATGAAGACTCTTCTGCCTCTATGGACCCTTAGAAGGATCGAGAAGCAATATCCCACACATATTTCTTTTCATGTCAGTAGTTTACTCTTGGGCAGATTAGTTTTGTAGGGTTGTTTTGGGAAAATGGAAGCCCCGATAATAACGAGACAAAATGTTACGTTCAAAAATGTGTTTTTAATGATTTCCACACTTTATTTTATTACCAACAAATGTCTCTGTGCAATTGCAGATGAGAAGTACTTCTGATAAATGGTCTGCCACTTAGACCCTTTCAGATTGCATTTCTGACTCCCTTTGTCCTATAGCACTGTCGCAATCAAACTGCTCCCCACTGTGAACTCCAGTTAAATGATAAAAAGTCTAGAAAAATAATGAAAACGAATGTCAGCAGCAAAGTAATTTAAACACGGCCTCGTAATAGACATTGATGCATGTTTATTTATTTCTCATATGCACAATATCATGCTTCGTTTGTGAGGCATAATTTACATGTCTTTTTGTACTTTCATTGTAAAGGTGTGTATATAACAGTATAAAACACAACTGTGACCTTTTTGCTTGTCCTCTTTGATGCATAAAAGTAATGGCAAATGAACATAATGTGGCATGGAGCAATAGAAAAACGCCAGACATACATTCTGTTTCTTGAAAAGTTTATTGATAAATATAATGATTTTATACAATATTTCAATACATGTATGGTTTCATTCTGAGCTGTCTGTCTTCTTGTCTGAGGTGTCTCAACCTGTTATATTTTGAAAGCACAGTGAGTGGGCATGACAGTAAATATTACGAAATCTGTTTTTAGGTCTCATTCAATCAGGAAAGCATCAATGGCTCTTAAGGAAAAAATGGCTTCCTCTCCTTCAAAACCAGTGAAAAGGTCTTCACATAATTTTTGACTTGCTCTCCTCACAGTGAACAGTTGGTCCTTCTGAGTCAATAATTGAACAAAATATTTTATGACAAGTGTTTTCTCAAGGTTTGATTTGTACTTGAATGATTTAGGCAAACAATAATGTCAGGACACCACACACTCATGCACAAAGAAATTTGGAAAACAGGGTTGATAGAGCCACATGACAGAAAGACAGACAGAAGACCAGGCCACAGACATACATGAAAGTATACACAGCATGTTCATGTCACAAATAACATTAACAATATATACAGTCGAATGTAACACTTATCGACACCACTAAACACACAGGAATAGTTGGACATAAGCCAGCTGGAGTCCATTAAACCAGATGAGAACTGCCACAAAATCTGTCATGGCACACAAAGACTGTACAAGACGCGGTTGTGCATGCGTAACATATTGCTCACTTTTGTCACATTGATACAAATGTCCTTAGAAATGGTTTATTGTGCTTTAACCTATTTTTAAATATGTTTTAATATTTAGTAGAAGCTTCCAATACTTTAAATTCTATTTAATTTACAAGAACGGTCCTTAGTTTTGTATTTGAGATTTTGTATTTACACATTGGATTGAAGTGCACACTGAAGGAGGCGAGTAGTCACATTGAGGCTGTATGAAATAAAGGGCTGAGTTTGAACCGGGGCTGGTCCCGTGTCTTCATGCAGTCTTCACAAACTGTCACACCCAAATGACACAAATCCCATATATATTCTTCCTTTGGGTTTATAATCCATGTTTCTCCTCTTGACCTTTCCTCTTCTGTCTTTGTTTTTTTGCTTTTTCAGATTTTGTTGGTCAGCTAGATGACATTTTCAAAAAGCTGCAGCGAGCGCATGATGTTTTCATCCTGCATATAAAACAAAAAAAGAACTTTACCATGTGTATGTAGGCTTAACTCAGTTGCACTTAGACATTAAGCCACAAGGGGGCAGTATAGACTTATCAAAGATTTCAAATTGCACATACACTATTGGATAATAGTAAATGAGGCTTCAGTATCTTATTTCTCTATGTGGTATCTACACCAGAATATTCTAAAATGGTCTACCTCTTGACATGATAAGATGAATTCATCTAGTGTGACGACACCATCTCTGTTTTTGTCCATTTTCTGCAAAAATGTGAAGACAAAAATACAAGTCACATTTGAGATCACTCAAAACACCATGCCTGTTTTGTAACACAAGTAAGCTACAATAAACTGCTGTGGCCTCATTGCTAAACTATTTTCGTCTCATACCTGAAAAAAGGCATCCACATGCTGCTTGGGAGTGTCTGTTTTGAGCACAGGGTAAGTGTATTTGCCCATCATGTCATATATTGCCCTGACAATGTCTGTCATTTCCTGTTTAGACAGCAGACACACAATTTAGTTTAAAGTGTAAAAGAGGTGATAATATACTATTATGCAAAGAGATTCACCTCTTTGTTAATGTAACCATCTCTATTTATGTCATAAAGGTTAAATGTCCACTGTAGCTTCTCAGTGATTGTTCCTCTGAGCAGAATGGAGAGGGCTGTTACAAAGTCCTGCAAAGAATCAAAGAAATGTTCACTGACAAAGAGACTAGAACAAGGCTTAATAATTTTTAGGTGGTTATAACAAGACAAACCTCAAACATTATAGATCCAGAATGTGCTGTGTCAAATGCATTAAACAGGTAGTGAGCATACTGACTTGCATCTGTAAAGGAAAGGAAATCATATACAGAATAAGTAAAAATATACAGATTTAAACAACACTGAAAAAAAGAAAACTGTACAGACACTACCTCCGTGTGGGAAGAACTGCGAGTAGATCTGTTTGAATGTGTCTTCATTTACTATGCCGCTGGGACACTCCTGCAGAAAGAGGAAAGCACTACACATAATACCAAGCAGATATTAAATAGATGTTATTATCTAAAGGTGCACTATGTAATCTTTCTGGTGGAGGGTTTGCCACCTGCTACTTGTCACCATGGTGATATTGCTTTGTCTGGAATGTCCCATTATAGTTTTAACCAGGTCTTCTTGCATTTATTCATATTTTTCTTTTTTTCAATTGTTATTATTACTCATTACTATTACAAGACATGGATTCTTACTATGACTTGGGTCTTCCCTTCACAGATCTGATGAGTAAAATGGCTCTTGTCTATATAGAGATACATGCACAAGTTTAATGCCTACTAAGGAAAATTACAGGCAAAGAAATCCTTGGAGTCAAGCAGTTGGTGGACCCTCTACAAGAAAAAGTTATACAGTGCACCATCCAAGAAATTAAGAATGTTTGGGAACAAGCTGAGACACAATGGCAAAATGTCTCCTTTGTGTTTTTCCCAGATAGGAAGGAGATATTTACAAATGCAGGAATTTTATTTATTAAGTTTGAATCCATATTCTATCCAATAATTTAGTCTTATAGTTAAATGCAGTGTCTGGATATTGATCTAATAATCAAACTCACGTTCTTGAAGCCTCTGTACAGCACCTGCAGCTCTCTCTTGCTGAAGTTGGTCTGAGCCTGAAGTTGATCCAGTCCCTCCGGCCGATGACACACCGTGGTCATCTCCAGGTCATCGTCAGCTTTATCTGCAAGGACACACAATACAAAACTATATTAACTTTTCATTTTACAACACAACTGTCTTCAAGTCTTCAAGTTCACAACTGCAAAGAAGTAATTTGTTATAAAGAAAAAAGGCGTATGGTCCATGGGTGTGTGGAGAGGTGGAGGTCACTGGAACGGCTCTATAGTCCTTGTCTCTGAGGGCGTACCATTAACACAGTCATTACTCTCCTGCTGGGGGGGAGGAGACTGAGGACACACAGTTCACTATAGGACAAACACAAGCGCGCACACACACACACACACACACAGTAGATATAAAAATAAAAAGTAAAACGTGCCACCAGCTGTTTCTATAGGTAAATATGACCATGCAAAAGTTAGATAATGATTGAGTCAGCATGTCCATAAATAGATCACCAGTGAACAATACGCTTTCAGTCTAGACTTGACTACTGTAATTATGCTACTTAAAGCTCCACTATGTAACTTTTTCTGATGGAGGGACCCGCTTGGGACCCATGGAGATGCTATTGCTATGATTGGAATGTTCCACAATGTAGCATAAATTATCATGGAGACAAGCAGGTGACGTCATAGACATTATATTATATTATATTATATTATATATCTATAGGTGACACTACCAGAGCTCCCAGGCCAATTAGTACAAGTTACAGGTCATATCTGTGGAGAAGTTAAACCACTCAGTAAGAATGCATGTTTTTCAAGGGATTTTTGAGCAATTAAGACACCCGTAAATTAGAGAAATTATTAATAGACAGTTTACACAGTTTAATGTCATACATGGACCCACCACCACATAAATTTGTTTAATGGTAGCAGACCTACCACCATAAAAGTCACAAAGAACACCTTTAATATAAGAGTGTCTGGATGAAAAAGATTAAATGGCTGTAATGTACACTGAGATAGATAATATCTATCACACTGGCAGGTAATGGTATTTTGTATGCAGTGACAGTATGTTTACTTCCCACAGTGCTAGTGTTGTTAAGGGCAGCCATAACTTCCCTGTTTTCTAAAATAAATCCTTATTCAGTGAATAGCTGCGCTGTGAAAGCTTTCAGCAGTAGTGATGAAAAGCTGTTTAATTGGTGCCATGAAGCTCAAGGATGACCAACACTGTGAAATAGAAACACTTTATGAGGGCCAGGACCATTACAGACTCATAAAGTGTGTGCACCATAACTTACTTGCTGTTTCAGAAAATTACTCAGTAAAAGCACAAAAGGTGAAACAGCTGTCCGCCCTGACAAAAGACTAGGTTGATTACAAA